TAGATGCAAAGGAAATTGTGAATATTTGTGAAAAAGATTGAAGGATTATGATGCTAGAGGATTTTTGAAAAATAAAGTAACATTCGAATGAAAGGTTGTTTTGTGCTATAGAAATAATTTTTCCTATTTGTAAGTTGGGTGTGGAGGAGAAGATTGTCTAGTTATTCTTTTTTAAAGATTGTAGTTGGAGTTGAAATTAATCTAAACATATTAGTAAATAGATTAATATTCTCTAGTTGAATTGATGGCCAGACTGAAAGTAGAGAGTTGTTATTATTGTATTTTTTATATGTTTGTATCAAGAGGGAATTGGTCCTTTGAATGATTTATATATTCAAAGATATATATTGTTTCATGGTAGTAGATATTAATTGTCAGATGTAAGAAGTTGTTCAATATAAAGAATTTAATTGTTTTTGAGACTTTGAATAGTTGATAGCTTAGAATTTATAGAAATAAAGTTGTAGATTATATTTAGTTTGAGGTTGCTTGAAAAATTGTTTATATTATTAATTAGGTTATTAATATTAATATTGTAGTTTGATATATAAGTTAGAAAGGAGAAACTAGTGAAATTTTTTATATTTGTTTATGTTGTAGGATTATATTAGAAGTAATTGTTGGTTGCCAGATTTTTTGAAGCCATTCTTTAATTTGAAGTTCAAAATTTTGTTTTAAGAGTAAAGATGAATTAATTGTTTTTTCAATAATACTGCAATTAGTATAAGAGAGCAGTTTATGAAAAGTAGGAATATTTAGAAGTTGCGGATTTGTAAGAATATCATTATTAGTGTTAAGTGAAAGATTGAGAGATTTTTTGATTTGTTTAGTAATAAGGCTTGAGAGCTGAGTAATTTTTTGATTTGTAAATAAAGTAACCTGCAGTAGGTATTCTAGTGATGGTGAGAGAATAGTGTTAAAAAGTCTGAAAATTTGAATAGATAAGAGTTTTTGTATTGTATGAGTTTAATGAAATTGCTTGTTTTGTTTATGATTTTATCAATTGTGGGTTGGGTAAAACCTGTGTTATCAAAATAGATGCCAAGATATCTAATAGAGTAAGTTGGTTTTCTTGATTTTATAGATTCATCATTAAAGATAATTCTGATTGTAATTCTTGATTTGATGTTATTTGTAATAAGGTTTAATGTGTAGAAGGTCAGATTTTGTTGAATTGACTTGAATGTTGTTGTGTTTGTAAAGTTGTTCAATATCTTTAAGTAGTTGTTGTAGGCAGTCTTTGTTTTTACAGTACTATACAGTATCATCCATATATGCTAGTAAAGGAATAGTAATTTGTGAGAGGTATATATTTTGAATTTGTTTGGTAGAAGATAATGCTTAGATTTTAAGAAAAGTGTTTTGATATTTGTTATTTATATATATTAAGATAGGGTCATAATAGATTTTCCAGGATGTGGTGACTTAGTGAAGTGGTCAAGTTGTCACCCCCCAGGTGGCAGATCCAGGGTTCAATTCCTACTAGCGAACGATTATTGAATACTTAATCTGTATATCAACGGATATGTCGACTTAATTGGGTATGTCAGCGTAAGACGCTGTAACTAGATCTTATATACTATAAGCTAGGGCACTAATTAGGAAGGACCACTTGCAAAATCCTGAGTATGGCATTCATTTGGAAAAGGTTAATAGTTGGGTCTATGAAGAAATGCAAGCCATACGACCAGTGCAAATCTATGATAAGACTATATAAGGGTTATTTCTGGATGCAGTGTAGGACTGCATACTGGCATACGCAATTACAAACACAAACACATGTACACAAACACAAAACAAACACTATGAACAATTAAGATTTTCTGTAGAATATTAATGCAGCCGCCACCTTACTAAAAGATACATCTGTTGTAGTTAGTAAGGGGAATGAAGTATGGAGGCGGGCAGTAAAGCCTCTATACGCAGAGGACCAGTATAATGACGGTCAGACCAAACGCACATGGCAGACTATGGAATCCTTCGTAGCTGTAAGAGACGAGCATAAAATGGTAAGCGCCTCTACAGAAGAAATCCTATCCAAATCATCATCAACACCACTAGACTCCTATGATTTAGATATATGTTATAACAGATACCTTAGCTATCATCAACTACCTCTATTAAAAGAACCACAACTATCAATTAATTTAGACAACACTTAACACAAAACAATGCTAAACATCTTGTATGTTATCTCTTAATTTCAGTTAGTAATGACAAAACTGAAGCACACGTATACTTACCTGATGACCCTAATATACTACCAAATTATTATATCTTTTCCATTATATATGACACAGATGATACCCATTGAGGTCTAAACCAAGCCTACCAACTATACTACTTATTCCTTCTACCTCATATATTTCAGAACACCAAACTGCTGAATATTCAACTAACAATCAAGATCAACCTCTCAACTTAACTATAAGTACACACAATGTTAGAGGATATAATACAGACCTTAAGCAACAAGTTTGGAAAAATTACTGCATCTCCAACAATCTTAATATTATAAGCATAACTGAAACCAAGATCCTCCAGAAAAATGCTCGAACAAAACTTCAAAAATCCAAAGACTTTATCTACTATTGGTCCTGTACAGACAGCACCAAAGCAGGCACAGCAATTATGATTAGAAACTAGTTAAAACCACATGTTCACAAAATACTTACATTTCCTGGCTATGCTGTAGCAATCGACAATCTTTTTAAACACGACTTCAGATTCAGAATCATATCAGTTTACCTATCTTGTGACAGTCTACAACTTCATCTTGAAGTTCAAAATACAGTTATCCAATAGCTACAAGAAGCAACATCTAATAATTTGCAACCTATTATTATGGGAGATTTTAATGCCTCTAGTGATAATATACAATCTATATCTATTAAATATAAGCTACTCCAATTTCTCCAATATAATAACATGTATGATCTGACAGTACATACCCAATCATCTACAGATACTTGGAATGGTAGTAGATACTCCAGCTGTATCAACTATATATGGGCCAACCACTCAATACTTCATTATCTTAACTCTTATTATGATGATAACCCTAATTCTAATATTAAGAGTGATCACCAAATCCTAATCTCATCATGGGTTTTTCCATATGCATTCTCAGGCAAATGCCGTATCTCTACTAGAATACGTAGAAGAGTATTTCTATACAAAAATATGAATACATAACAATGGCAACTATATACTGACCAAATTACCTCAAATCTTCAATCAAACAACACACCACTAACTACAAACACTAATGAATCACTTGAATGCACATGGCACAAAATACAAACAAGTATAATCTCAGCAGCATTACAACATATACCTAATAAGCGATTTACTGTACGCAATTTCTAGCATATATACTCACCTAAAGCATCTCAACTACACTTTCACCTTAAAAAATTAAGTAATATTATCCATCAAATTAAAGCAATTATTAGAAATCAAAACCAAACACCTATACCTAGCCATCATAATATCACAATTAATACTATTAACCTAACTTATAATCTTGATATACCTTCTTTACCAACTAGTCATGATCAACTGCCTAGCTGGATTAATCACAGCAACGAAGCATGGAAAGCTCTTTACTATGCACCAAAATCTATGATTAATAGTATACTCAACCAACATAAAGATCCCGTCAAGTTTGACAATATCAAATTAGATAATAATATTATCACAAATACACACAATATTAAAGCACATATTCAGAAACATTTTGACCAATGGACTGGCCTTTGGACTATTGATCAAACTATTTATAATCAAACTTGGCAAAATGAATACCAACCTCTAAATCATATTAACTCAGACTGGTATCAAAGTGCACTCCTCGAGTTCTCAATTGAGGAGGTATCATCTACCCTTGCACAATTACCAAATAACAAAGCTTGTGGCCCATCAGGCATCAGTTATGAGATGCTTAAACACACAGGCTTACCTTTCCTTCAAGCTATTACATCTTTATTCAACAGATGTATTACTATTAACAAAATTTCTAAACAATGGAAAGAGGGTAGAATCTTCTAATCTCTAAAAAACCAATCTTTGACGGGAATTTGGTTAACACCAGACCTATAAATCTACTTGAACAATTAAGAAACTATATGCCAAACTTCTAACTAACTGACTCAATTTTATATTTATTACACATAAAATTCTCTCAAGTTTTAATTATATTGCATTACCCGGAAACAGTACCTCTATTCCTATTCATATTCTTAACAATATTATCGAAGATGCTGCTTGTAATTCAAAAGAGCTGTGGCTAATATCTCAGAATATGAGCAAAGCTTATGATTCTGTTAATCTTAATCTCTTTCATAAATCTCTCTCACGACTAAATATGCCTCCACAACTGATTAACATCCTAACCGATCTTCTAACCAACCGACACAACAAAGTCATCTCCAACCTTGGCCTTACTGATTCATATCAAGTTCAAAATGGAATTGATCAAGGAGAAACGATTACTTCTCTATTCTGAAGAATCTATTATGACCCCCTAATTCATAAAGTGGCATCTAGTTCTACCGGATACACTTTATCTACAAAATGGCAACCTAATTTACATTCTACCACTAGCCACCATCTTCAAATCTCTATATCTGTATTAGCCTATATGGATGATACACTATGGATAGCTCAATCTAAAGAAAAGATGGAACATATTACATCTCTTGCAAAATCGTTCTACCAAATGGCTAGCCTTCAGATTAACCCATCTAAATCTGTATTCGCTACAAATCCCAAACCCACCACTATATCTTTTATTGATTCCACTCTAAACTCAATACCAATTAATGAACCCTTTAAATATCTTGGTTGTTGGTTTATACTAAATAACAAACAATCAGAACAAATTAAACGTATTCAACAAGAAATATACCAACTAACTTATATAGCAAATACAAAAAAAATTACTGATAAACAAATCGCATACATCATAAACACTGTTATAATACCAACTCTTGAATACAGAATACATAATATAGTACTATCCCATACTATATGCAACAACATTTTAGCAAAATATCTTACTGTTGCCAAACACAAATCACATCTTTCT